AGAAATTTGGTAAATATAGAGCTACAAATGTCTTAGAATTAATACATACAGACATTTGTGGACCATTTACGACACCTTCTTGGAATGGTCAACAATATTTTATATCATTTATAGACGATTATTCCAGATATGCATACATATTTCTTATACATGAAAATTCTCAATCATTGGATGTGTTCAAATCGTTTAAGGCTGAAGTTGAGAATCAATTTGACAAAAGAATTAAGAAAGTCAAATCCGACCGTGGCGGTGAATATTATGGTAGATATGATGGTTCGGGTGAACAACATCAAAGGCTTTTTGCCAAATATCTAGAGGAATGTGGAATTGTCCAACAGTACACCATGCCAAGATCTCCTTGCATGAACGATGTTGCTGAAAGACAAAATCAGACTCTTATAGATATGGTAAAGAGCATGATTTATTATTCTACCTTGCCAGAGTCACTTTGGAGAGGGACACTAACGACTGCATCTTATATTCTAAATAGGGTACAGACAAAAGCAGCTGTCAAAACACCTTATGAGCTTTGGACCGGGCGAAAGCCTAGTCTCAAACATTTTCATGTATGAGGATGTCCAACTGAGGTAAGGCCTTATAGGCTAAATGAAAAAAAATTGGACTCCCGAATAGTGAGAAACTACTTTATTGGTTATTCTGAAAGATCTAGGGGCTACAAATTTTATGATCGCAAATTAAATTCAATTTTTGAGACGGGAACAACCATATTCTTTGAGGATATTGAGTTTGTGGGGAAGAATAAGGTTAGATACTTTGTCTTAGAGGAAGAACCGATAACAATTCTAGAACCAATTCATATAGTTGCTTTTGATGAAGCAAGTACTGAACCTGCATAAGACATTGTTGCAATTCCTCAAACTCAACATGATTTGGTAATTCATGAAGAAAAAACTCAAAATCCTCAAGAACAAGTGTTACAAGAACCTATATTTTTGCAGAGATCCACTAGAGAAAGGAGAAATCCTATTCCAGATGATTACATAGTATTTCTCCAAGAACACGAGGAAGATAATGGTATGCTGGAAGATGATCCAATCAACTTCCGTTAAGCCATGCAGGATTCCAACTCAGAAAAGTGGATTGAAGCAATGAAGGAGGAGTATAAGTCCATGCAAGACAATAAAGTTTAGGAACTTGTCCCATTACCAGAAGGTGTGAAACCCATTGGTTGCAAATGGATTTTTAAGATCAAACGGGATTCTAACGGTAATGTGGAGAGGTATAAGGCTCATCTTGTGGCTAAGAGCTATATTCAAAAGAAAGGGATTGACTTTAAAGAGACTTTATCTTCGGTTTCATCGAAAGACTCTTTTAGGACAATCATGACTCTTGTTGCACATTATGATTTAGAACTCCATCAAATGGATGTCAAGACAACTTTCCTCAATGACAACATTGATGAAACAATCTATATGATGCAACCAGAAAACTTTGTGTTATGAGACTCAAAGAATATGGTTTGCAAAGTGACAAAATCCATTTATGGACTAAAACAGGTATCTTGTCAGTGGTATCACAAGTTTCACGAAGTAATTCTCTCATTTGGTTTTAAGGTGAGTGTTGTTGAAGATTGTATGTATCACAAGTTCAGTGGGAGCAAGTACATTTTCTTGGTTTTGTATGTAGATAAAATACTGCTTGCCACAAATAGTATAGGAATGATGCACAAAACTAAGAAATTTCTATCAATAAATTTTGAAATAAAAGATCTTGGTGATGCCTCCTTTGTATTAGGAATTCAGATACATCGAGACTGATTTTATGGTATTATAAGATTATCACAAATGAGTTATATCGAAAAGGTACTTAAAAGGTTTGACATGCAGGAATGTAAATTAGGAGATACTTCAACTGCTAAGGGAGACAAATTCAGTCTTAGTCAGTGCCCAAAAAGAAACTTAGAAATTCAAGAAATGCCAAAGATTCCTTATGCGTCAGCAGTATGAAGTTTGATGTATGCCTAAGTGCGCACGTGTCTGGATATTGCGTTCATAGTTGAAATGTTAGGAAGATATTTGAGCAATCCAGGAATGAATTATTAAAAAGCAGCCAAAAAGGTTATGAGGTATTTAAAGAGAACAAAAGACTATATGCTCACATATAAGAGGTCTGATTAGTTAGAGATCATTGAATACTTTGACTCAATTTTTGCTGGATGCCAAGACAGTAAAAGATCCACTTCAGGCTATATTTACATGTCGGCTAGTGGTGCAGTTTCTTGGCACAATGCTAAGCAAACTCTTACGACTTCGTCCACCATCCCAGCAGAGTTTATAGCATGTTATGAGGCATCCAACCATGGGATTTGGCTGAGAAATCTTGCCACTGGAATGTGAATTGTGGAAGGAATTGAAAGGCCACTTAAGTTATACCGTGACAACAAATCAACCGTCCTATATTCCAATAATGGTAGGAGATCGACTAAGTCAAAACATATTGACATCAAGTTCCTAGTTGTTAAGGAAAGGGTACAAAGTGAACAGATTTCCATAGAACACTTAGGGACAAACTCCACGATAGCAGATCCTCTTACAAAAGGTCTTCCATCCAAGGTCTTTCACGAGCGCACTGCTCGCATGAGTGTTTTATCGTTAGAGAAGTCTTTGGTTTAGTGAGAGTTAGTCTATTATGGAGTTTAATGTTCTGTGTTTGGTATTATGTATGCATACTATGATTTTGAATATTTTCAAATTAATAAAATGTGATATTCAGTAGTTTATATTTCGTACAATAAAGTTATTGAATGATCTCACTATAGTAAAGTAGGACCAGTTGAAAATCAACATATAAAGACCAACTTCATGTGATTTTCATGCTACACATTTCATGATGGATCTATGTCATTTAGTTGTGTCACTATCGGTGGTTATTGATGAGTTTAGTTATGATTGATATAATGAAAATCACCTTGATTTTGTATATTGACATGATTAATAGACGAGATACTTTGGATATGTTTAAAGAATATAACGGTAAATTTTGAGTTCATAAAGTCTAACACATGTGTAAAGTTACATATGTGACCAGTGGGAGATTGTTAGAATTTTGGATTACAAATGTAACATTTTAGGTGCTAGTGTCATTACTTTAATTAGTCAAGACTTAAAGGGGTCTAATTAATATAATATTAAGTTTGTGGCTAAAAGCATAAATGTCATGAAATGTCAGGTTATAGTGTAGATACCGTAAGTCAATATCTAATTTGATGAGGGGACAAATTAGAATATTAAAAACTAAGAAATAACCATAGGGTTATTTAAATGAGTTATGGTCCCCATTTGTAGAGTACAAACAAAATAAGATTTGTGAAGTTTTCTCTCTTCGTCCTCATCAGAGGAGATTCAAGGAACCATAAGGAACTCTATAAATCGGAAGATCACATACCCGAAACCTTCAACGATTTTAATGGCAAATTCAGGTACGCTTTTACCTTCATTCTCATAATTGTATTTGGATATGAGTTTAAGGGATACAAGTTGCTATATCGACTTATATGAATTATTCTAGAGTTCTGTTCTTGATTTCTATATCGGTATAAATCATAAGATTTTGAACGGATCTAACACTTAGACTTTGTCCGACACTGAATAAGACGGGGAAGCATTAAATATCATTGATTTGCCTCCATGTCGTGATCTGATATAGATGGAACTGAAACGCTTGAGATTAATTTTTGAAAAAATAGTGGGAAACAAGTGCATTTAATGCGATTTTATCATTGAAATGTTAGTCGTCTTTTACTTGAGTGCACTTGAGTTTGGTGTGTATCCTGAATAAAAATTTAATCGTTGATTTCGTGATTCTTTCACATATTTAATTTTTGATTTCTAAAATGAGTTGAATATTTGGGAAACCATTAGTATTCACTATTTACACTTGTTTTTCAAAGAAATATCTTCCTTCCTCTTATATTAAGAGCATCGTTAAAAGAGACTTGGTGCTTCCCTTAAACCTTTTTGCGTTTTTTCATTACTGCACCTTCATCAATCTTTCATAATCAAGGATTCTTCTAACTCAAGCATTCACTTCAGCATTTTCTGTTTTTGACACGACATCTCTTGTTTTCTAAAACTCTTCCCTACATATTGACACGGCAAACATGAATCATCAAGGGATCTTCATACAACTACAAGCTCCTTTAGCCTTGTAAGACTCAACTTATGCTTCTGTATATTTGTCAATACTACATGTTTATTAATACTATTTGTCAATATTTGTAAATATGGCCAAACTTTAATTTCATTAAATATAGCGAATTTGAAAAAATCTAGTACGTATTTAATTAATATTTCACTTTTTTGCTCTAAAACCATTTTTTTAAAAATCAAATCAAATTTTTTATAAAGCTTAATATAGAATTTGCTACCAATACAAACTCTATATTTTTGTGAATCAATTATTCAAACCACTCCTAAACATTTGTATAATAGTAGCAATCAATTATCAATTATATACTACATACATACTAAAATGATGACAAGTAGAAAAATACTTCACCAGAAGAAAATTAAAATAGAAAAAGACAAAAAAGGATAGATTCCAATTTGAAAGAATACACACCTTGTGTCCTGCAAAACCAACGGTGATGATGGTATTGATATCATGCATGTAGTCTCGTAATGGATAAAAAGACAAAAAAGTATCTGATCCTGATTCTTCCCGTGCCATGAAAATAACCTCATCGCAATCTTCTTCTCTTTTTGGTCCCATACTATCAAACTGATACTATTGCATTTATTTATTAGACTTTTTAATAAAAAATACTAAACAGTTTAATCAACTAATCTATCAGTTAATCACAATTAGTGACGGAATTATAGATAGAACAATATTTTAATTAACTCATTAAATGACCAAAGTACCCTCTTCCTAAAACTCTATATAACGTACCGCACCTTCCATAGCAATTTCCATCCCATCACAAGCGGTGTAATAAACCAATAGAAAGGGGACAAATTATTTTTATTTTATTTGAAAAAATGTTGGGGATCTTCAGTAGCTCCGTCGTGTCTCCACCGGAAGAGCTGGTGGCAGCCGGTAGCCGAACACCGTCTCCAAAGACGACGGCGAGTTTGCTTCTGAAAAGGTTCGTTGAGAGGAAGGCGTCGGCGGTGTCGCTGCAGGTTGGGGATGATGTGCAGTTGGCTTACACGCACCACGAGGAGTCGCCGTGGCATCCCAGGTATAAAGTTTAAACAATATGATCGGTTAAACGACGCCGTTTTATCATGTTACAGTCATCGTTTTTATCGTTTTCTTCACACATAGTGGAATCGAAAAAAGTTTCTATTCTGGAGCTTTTTCTTCACTGAACTCGAGACAAAATCTTACACGAAATTAAGAAGAAAAATTAAAGATTAAAATCACTTGTAGAATAATAAAAGAAAATGAATTGTTTAATTGTGTATTGAAAACACCAAAAGAAAATAGAGTGAAAAATAGTCATTAATTAAATTATTTATTTGAAAATTGTTTGTGATGTGTGTAATAGTAGAGCACTATATATTTGAGATTTCTGTGTTTAGTAGAGTTTGAATTTGGGTGTTTATGGTCGGTGATCTAATAGTGATGATTTGATAATGAAATCTTGAAAGTTCGAATTGAGCTAACAGTATCGACTGAGCTAACTTAAAAAAACACTATAATAATTTATTTATAAAATAATTTAATAATAATAATAAAGAAGGGACAATATTTAAATTAATTATGATGATATATTATATAATCAACTAAAAGAAATTGTAATAACCAACCAATATTACTATTAGTTTGTATTTATGATAATTGAAATAGATTAATCTATTAATATAATTAGTAAATATAATCACATTTCTCTTTCATCCTTTGTTATATTTTTAATGGGTTGCATTATGGCCATTATGCTATTAGAAATTAAACGTAATGAATATTAAAAGGAATAGGATACAACTATTATATCTCCATGAAGAATGTTTGAAGTAATATTAGTAAGCCGCCTAATAAGAGGCAGAATAGGTTTGATCAGAGTTAGATTTCACAAGATTCAAGTCTAGCGTTATAAAAATTTTAAGGCTTAAATTTGCAATATAAAAAAATTTAGGTGTATTAACTCTCAATTTTATTTGATTTATGAAATTAGTTATTCTATTTTAAATTTAAATAATTTTTGTTTCTGTTCACATTTTTCTTATAAAAAATGGGTGAAATATTATTTAATTTATATAAAAAATTGATGAAATATTATTTAATTTATATTTTTATCTATAAAATTCAATTTTATATTTATATACGATAATTTATCATATTTTATAAATAATTTATCATTTAAAAAATTAAAATATTGTTTTTTTAAATGCAAAGATATTAGATGAAGATCAAATCTGTTTAAATTTAAAATAAAAAAATTAATTTCGTAAATAAAATATGAAATTAAACTATAATTAAACCAAAATTTTATTTAAAGTTTGAGTTACAACTTTTAGAAAGCTTCATTTTAGTCTATTAATCTATTTATAAGTTTCATACAAGAAATTTATTTAAGTCTTTATACAAGAAATTTAAGAAATTTAAAGAAAGTCCATCTTTTAAAAAAAAAATCTAAATATATTTGTCTCATACTATATTTAATTTTATCCATACTTTGTGCTTTGAAAATTATGAAAATATATAAATATAAAAAATAAGGATATATTTAAAATAATAACATTAAATATGTTAATTATAGATTATTTTTCTTATATTTAAAACCATTAAATATTTGTTATTGTTTATATTTACTCCCAATGGGAGTATTTTAAAAAGTATTCTGATTTAAGTATGCACCTGCCACCTGATTTTATAGACATGATTGGGTACGAGCTCAACAACTCTTTTAAAATGTCTTCTACTACGACGATGTTGGGTACGATGCCACCTGATTTGACCGAATTTAATATATAATAAATTTAAGTATAAAAATCACATTTAAATTTAAAAATTATAAATTATAAATTAAAATAGAATAAAATCTCAAAAGACAAAAATGAATTCTATTTTAAAAAACTCAATTCAAACATGCTTGAAATACCTTTTTTTTTTTTTTTTCTACTTTCAATAAATTTTGTTTATAATAAATGGTATGGTTTATGTTTATAAGAATCACCTCAATAATAATATTGTATTTTAATTTTAATTTATAATTAATTTTTTTTTATAAAATTAATGATGTTTTAAAAATATAAATTATTGAAAAAATTAACAAATTAATTAATTAATAAAAGTATTAAATATAACATAATAATACAAAATTAGTTTTATATTTATTTAATGACTTTGTAGGTCTAAAAGTCTTTTTGTATGACATATAGGTTTTTAAAAGTCTTTCTATGTCTATCACTTTATCTACTTCGATAATTAAATTTTTAAAAAAGTCTTATCTATTTGAAAAAGAATTTAGTCTGACCTGACGTTTATTAAGCAAACTCCTTGTCGGCCTATTATTATTGAATGATTATTTTAACATTAGTAAATTTGGAATGTAATGAAACATGCCTATAATACAAAATGAGTTAATGAACATACAATTAAAATTAATCCTTTTGATGCTTATCATAAATATCAAAATTAAAAATAAAATAATATATTATAATTAAATTATTCTAATAACTGCTTCTACGTTTTTCTTTTTCATCTTTCACATTTATATTTTAAAATAATTAATTTTTATTTTTATTAGATGTAAAATGACTTTACATGTATTCAAATTAATTTCATAATATATAATAAAAAGTACATATAATACAAGATGAGATTAATGAAAATCTGCCCATCTATTAAATTATCCAAATTATTTTAAATTATCCAAGTGCATCTACTGTTTTCTCATGCAAAATATCAACAATTGTTTAAAACTTATTATTTTCATATCAATCGTATTCATGTTTTTTCTTTAAATTCATTAAGATATTTATTTTACTTAAGAAATTAATTAACTTACAAGAGCAAAAATAAATTTGATGGAAAATATCATTTTGTTGGTGGGTCGAGATGTCTTTGTCCTACCATAACATCCCTTTACTTGTGAATATCAAATTAAATTATTGATCTATGGTCCCTATTATCAACAAATACAATCCGAATATTTTATTTTGGTTTGAAAATTATAGCAAAAAAGTTATGGTGTGTATTCAACTTGACCCACCCTTTTTGTAATAGGGAACGGTTTAAATAGTTTGAAGACCACAAATAAATGAAGGGAAAAGATATATTGACACTAGTTTCTAACACCTCCACAGTAAATATATACAAAATACATACTAGTTTTATTTTTTAATAATTTATTTATATTGGTTTTTGTGCAAATCATTTTAATTTGTTATAATATACGGTGTAGAGTACGCAGGTGTATGAAAAAGGTGTCAAAATAGCATCCCTCATAAATGAAAGGACCTCTTTTGATGTATGGTCCCTTTTATAATAATTTTTTAAGATACTTTATATATATATATATATATATATATATATATATATATATATATATATATATATATATATATATATATATATATATATATATATATATATATATATATATATATATATATATATATATATATATATATATATATATATATATATAACAATCTTGACCAATGTTTTAATAGTCGAAGCGACATTAAATCAATAAGGATATTGAATTATTAGTTTATTAGTCAAACTGCTGGATAATTAGTCATACCACATGACTAAATCGAATAACTCAACTGAATAAATCATTCGATATAATAAAACTATATAATTATTAAATTAGTCGAACTGAATGATCCGATTTTTAAAAAAATCACAACATCTATAAATTAAAATTTCACAAATTTATTTTTTAAACTTAAATACACCTTTTGCAACTCAACAAAATAATTGCAGTATTTAATAAATTTAATTACAAAAAGGAAAATAAGTTTTTAATAAAGTCTAATTATATATATATTTTTAAAATATAAAAACAGAGTGTCGTTTTGTCCAATAAAAACATGAGCAATTAATTCGTCGGTTTTTCAAAAATCACCTATTTGTCGGTTTTAACCGATTCTCATTGATTTAATAATTTACTCGATCCAACAATCAATCTAAGATCAATGACTCTTATAATTCTTGACGCCCGATACGATCCGGTTTTTAAAAAGCAGTCCTATTGAAAAGAGATGGAAAATTAAATATATTATTATTAAATTTTATTATTTAAATAAAATTAAAAGAGCTAAAACACCCTTGTTGAATCTAATATTTTGTTTTTCAGTCTAACTAAGAAATCAAAAATGAAAGTCTTGTTTTGAAAGAGTCAAAGCTTTAAAAGAAATGTAATAAAAGAATATTGTTTTCTGCAGTTAAGAGTTTTTCTTTTTAAATAAAAAAATAAGGATAAAAATTTGTTTTTCATTTTCATTTGTTTTGTTTGACCAATATTAAATGGAGGTCACTTCAAATGGAGTGTTCATTTGCAATTATTCACCACTTTGAGTCTATATGCTCTGTCCATTTCAAACTGTTGACTTTGTCACTTTAATTTACTTATGAGCCTCTGTTTTCTTTGGAGTCTTTTGCTTTTATGACCCAATGAGAATGAAATAAGGATAAGGATAATGTGGAGTAGGTTGTTGGGAGGGACCATGAAAATGAAATAGAAAACCACATAAAGAATAAGACAAAGATTGTGTCACACTGCATTGAAATATTATTAATAGGTGATGTGATGAAAAATAAACAAAATTATATGAATAAAATATATTTTTGGAGACAAATACCACATGTGACATGTCAGCTAGATTGCAATGATTCTGAGTTTGGTACTGATTTTATTATTATGTATGGCAGATCATTTGCAGTGAAGGATGATATATTCTGCTTATTCGAAGGAGCTCTAGACAATTTAGGGAGCTTGAGACAGCAATATGGACTTGCGAAATCTGCGAATGAAGTCGTTCTTATGATCGAAGCTTACAAAGCTTTACGCGACCGAGCACCTTACCCTGCCAACCATGTTGTTGGTCATCTTAGTGGTAGTTTTGCCTTCATTGTTTTTGACAAATCAACTTCCACCCTCTTTGTTGCTTCTGTAAGTTACCATCTATATAGTAATCTTTTACTAATTGTTGCTATTTTTGTAAATTTTCACTTAAGAATATTGTTTTTTTATAGGACCAATCTGGAAAGGTTCCTCTGTATTGGGGAATAACCGCTGATGGGTATGTAGCTTTTGCTGATGATGCTGATTTGCTTAAAGGTGCTTGTGGAAAGTCACTCGCTTCGTTTCCTCAAGGTTGGTTTAAATTTAGCTTCTTGGTTCTGTTTTTTTGTTCTTACTTAATTCAGAATGCGTTCCGTCATAATGTACTGTAAATTTTACAGGATGTTTCTACTCGACCGCAGTTGGAGGATTAAGATGCTACGAGAATCCAAAGAATAAGATTACTGCAATACCAGCTAATGAGGAAGAATTTTGGGGTGCAACCTTCAAGGTAATTAACAATTACACGAGTTTAAATAAATGAACATTGCTACATTCAAATCTTATATTGGGGCTATGAATGATCAGGTGGAAGGGGCAGCGGTTGTTGCAGCGACAGAGTAATGGTTGTGACAGTAAGACATGCATGAAGGGATCATAATGTAAATATCTTGACTCATAAATGTGAAGAGTGTGGGACTGGTCATTGTAGAGTTTGAGTTTATTGTGTTGCAGGTTTTGTGCAGTATTGCATAGGGTTTTCTGTGTTTCGAAAAATGTCCAGTTGCATTTTCAATGTAATAAAAGTATATGCATGCGTCTGGCTTGAGTTCTGAACTGTAGGAGTCATATTCTATATAAAAAAATGTGTAGATACAAACTTTCATCTTTCAACTAATAAATTAATGATATTGATACACTTTCTTCAACCTGTTTTTTTCTTCCATCAATTTTTTATATTTTTATCAAATTTTTTCATGATTATTAGTATCCCTTTAATAAATAATAGTTTTTTTTTCTTTATACTAACTTCTTTTATGAAAAAAAAGGTTTTGGTACTGGACTATAACTCGATCACATCATCTAAATTGACCAAGGATTTCAAGCTACTTTTGACCAATTATTTTAAAGTATTCTTCTAAATATTTTAAAGTATTTTTAAATCTTATTCTATAATAATTTAATATTCAGTTTTGTGAATATATATATATATATATATATATATATATATATATATATATATATATATATATATATATATATATATATATATATATATATATATATATATATATATATATATATATATATATATATATATATTGACTATTTGATCTATAATTTTTATTGTTTATTTTCGTGGTTATCTAAAATTGACCAAGTATTATAAAGTAGGAGAAATGTTTTACCGTCATAATTGAAAATCAATTTTTATTTTGCTGTTTAATTTGATATGTCATTGTTGAATTTATTCATTTTTAATAGTGGTGATAGATACAGATAGAGACATGATAGACATGATAATGACAAGGCCGACAATATATCAATCAAATATAAATTTCATTCTTTTTCAATAAATTATTTAAATTTGATGTTTGACTAACGTCAATAATAAAATGTGGAGATTGAAATTGCAATTAATACTCTATTGTTTATTGAAGTTTATAGAATAATATTTTTCAAAATCAAATAATATTGAAACTGCTATTCAAATACTCTTTAAATTTGCTATTCAATCAAATGAAGTTCAAACATAAAAGTCAAGGAGAAAATGGGTGATGCACTCGCCAATTTCAACCATGAATTCAATCAAGTTTGATTGTAATTTAAAAAAAAAATTGTGATATGTTAAATTTTTTTACACTGTACATCTTTAATTTTATTCTGGATTGAGCCGAGGCTTAACCCACAATCGAGCAGGCCCAAACCCCATTGAGGATGAGCTCAATAAGATCACACTAACAAGCAGGAATCCGTCGGATACAACATTCTTTCCCCGTCGGGCAAAGACCCCCAGCTGTTGGGCAGGAGCCTTATTGCCGACCAACCAGCCTTTGTCCTCTCCTTCGTCGACCAGAGCCCTGTCTTCCCGGGGAGCTCCTCGGAACTCCCCCACGCCGTCGAGAACAACATTCCTTCCCTGTCGGGCAAAGGCGCTCAGCTATCGGGCAGGACCCTCGCTACCGACCAACCAACCTTTGTCCTCTCCTTCGTCGGGCAGAGCCCTGTCATCCCGGGAGCTCATCGGATCTCCCCCACGTTCTCCACGTGCCCCGCAGGGACACGTCATAAAGTAACTACCCACGTTTTGGAGATTCGGGCTTCCTCCTCCCGGATAGTGCAGAACAGTTACTCTAGGGCGAAGGCCACGTCCTGGTCTTCACGACGCTACGTCAGCCCTAGAAGTTACTAACATTGGGTCTAACAACCCAGCCCAGTGCTAGGCAACCGTTGGCCCTGCGATGAGGGCTCACTATAAATACCTTATTCACTAGAGGGTCAGGTAATTCAATTCTCGACACCTTCTCTCTGTATTTGCTTCATTCTGGTCCTTTCTCATTTTGGCATCAGAGTGTCTTGCAGGTACACCCCCTCCTCTTTTCTACCACCGGTGAACAGGTTACAAGTCAAAGGCGCGTGGCGGTCCATTGATTCCCTCCTGATCAGGTTAGATCAAATCTTAAAATCATACTTTTTTTCATCTATTTTATTTTGGAAACTCTCCTCTAAATTAAAAAAAATTAAATTTTTATACTCTTCATTTAGGTGATATAATACATTTAAATAAATCAATAAAAATAAAATACAACAAATTTATGATATGTTAAATTGAGTCTTGAAAGTTATCCGCAATAACAATATCAATAAGAAAATAAAGACAATCGTTTCCGACATAGACACCACACCAACCACTAAATCCTAAAAAAACAACCACATATAAATTGACCAAGCAATATTAAAATGACTTTCGGAATTCCAAGCATTACAACACAAACTTATTGAATTAGTGTGCCAAAAGAATGCTAAAAAATTAAATTGATTTTCAGAATTCCGAGCATTAGGTGTGCCATAAGAATGCTCATAAATTGTTCCCGTGTGGTTACGGATGTCTATTTGGTCGGACAAATTTCAACTAAACCATAATTAAAACTAAACCAAAATATTTGGATTCAACATTTTATTTAGTTTGGACAAAAATCAAATTTAACCAATAAAATCCGATCTTAAATGATTTGGATAATTAATTTTTAAAATTCTATTCATAAATTAGTTTATCCGAATCAACGATAATTAATTTATATAATTTATATTATTATTATTATTATGGATCAATATTAAAATTATTTCTGTTTATAAAAATATTTAAATCAACAGTGTATTTTTTTCATATACAAATATTATTTTTGTTTTGATATTATTTATAAAAATATTTGAATCAATACTAAAATTCTCTCTATTTAAAAATATTTAAATCAATAACATATTTTTTCTGGTATATAAACATTAATTTTGTTTTAATAATATTTATAAAAAAATTTAAATCAATTGTAAAATTATTTTCGTATATAAAATTATTAGAATAAAAAATGTATATTTTTTTGTATATTAATATCATTTTTGTTTTGACAATATTTATAAAAATATTTGAATCAATAGAAAAATTATTTTCGTATATAAAAAGTTTTGAATTGATAATGTATTTTTTTTTATATATAAATATTTTTTTTAATTATAATTCCAAATGAATTTGGACCTTTTGATATGGAAATACAGTTAAATGTTGGTTGCAACTAAAATAATGAGATTTTGAGGGTTTAAGCTACTTTTGTGTTATGACGAGGAAGAGTGCTACTCATAACACAAGTTTTAATCTAATACCTATATTTATTTATAGATTAAAAAAAAAAATTTTATTAGAGTTGTGTTAGTAGATATTTATACAATATATAAAGTGAATACTTTGTTTTGATGCAGCAACTTATTTTTCTACCATTTTTATCCTTGTTTTATTATGTAATTTACTTAATAACTTCTTATTATTAACTTCCACGTAACTTCTTATTATTAACTTCTATATATTGTATTTTTTAAAAATTTTATTTAAACAAAAAAATATCGTTTATATTTTCATTTATGCGTACAATATATAAAGGAAATACTTTATTTTGGTGTGACTTATTTTTCTACCATTTTTACCCTTACTTTATTATGTAATTTACTTAATAACTTTTTATTATTAACTTCTACATATTGCATTTTTTAAAAATTTTATTTAAACAAAAAATACCGTTTATATTTTCATTTATGCGCATTAAAAAAGCGGACAGACGGGCACGCGAATGCCCGTCTGAACGCTAGTATTTATAAATATGATATAGTTGTTTTATTACGTACTCTTTCCGTTTTAAAATGGATGTGGTTTAAGATTTTTTTATGCAGATTAAAAAATACAATGATATTGTTATAAGATATTGCAGTTTTACTAAATTAATATTATTAATTTGTTAGAAATAATGTACAGTAATAATTATACGACATAATTGGAAAAATAACAATTATCACTGCTTTAAAAAATAAAAATGAAATTCATTTTAAAACAAAATTTTTCTTCTAAAACGACAATAATTTTAAAACGAAAAAAGTATCTTATTATATACGTCAATCATCAATCAGACCCTTAAATAATAATTAATTATTTTCAATAGATTTGCTTGTATTAATAAAAAATACCTTTAAAACATATGGAATATACATTAAGAAGTAATTTTTTTTTAATAGCAAAATGAAACTTATTATTAAAGAAAGGCATAAGAAATGCCCTAAAATACACCAAAATCAAAAAGACCCACTGCAGAAGGCCACCAAACCAAAAATACACCAGAATGTCCTAAAATATATCCAGTATTCTCTAACAAAGGTCACCAAACCAAAAACTAAAAAAACACTACACCCAAACCAGATTGCAGAGCCCTTGAAAAAACAACTCAGATAACATCTTGTAATGCAAAAAAGAGAAAACTATATCCATATACCACAACTCAAACAACAATGTTACTGCACCATTTCTGCTACCAAGTCCGACTCCCTGACAAACAAAATGAAACCGCTGCAAGAAAAAACATAGCAGCGCAGAAAGCGACCAAACCGGCGAAAATCATGTCCATCCAAGACATTCTTTTGGATGCAAAATCCATTAATAAACATCAAAATATAATCCTTTGATTTTAGTTTTCAACCATTTCCAACATAAGAATTGTATTTCCTTTATACAATTGATTGAACGATAATCCTCCTAATGAAAAATCTTCCTATTCCTCCGACGCCATATAGACCAAACACACGCGTGCCAAATTACTAATATCCTCCCCCTTGCACTCTCCATCAATTACAAATACCTGCAAATTGATGAAAATTTTGAACCACAGAATTATGAATAACATAATAAATGCGGAGCTAATCTAGGACCTCGCTCCATGTCAACCAAGCTAACATACATTAGAAGAAAATGTGAATGACATTTTCCTCTTTTCCGCAGCCGAACAGACATGAATTTTGAGATTCTACTAGATAGCCCCTTTTGATTAAGTTATCTCTACTTGATATCCTATTTTGCCAAATTCTCC